GCAATGTAGCCCAACTGCCATTAAGAAGGATCAACTTGAATCATTTGTAGAATGGATAGATATGTTAACTTAAATGAAACAAACACAGAAGCTTAAATATCACACAACTTCTCTTATATGAAAATCTAAAAAAAAAAAAAAAAAAAAAAGAGCAAAAATAAGGCCAGTCACTGTGGCGTACACTTATAATCCCAGTACCTGGGAGACTGAGGCAGGTGGATTGCTGCAAATTTGAGGTAGATAATAGAAACAGATAATAGAAAACAGAGAGAGACGCCTTTTCAAAGGAAAAGGGACCAAGAGATGGAGATGAGAGAAAGAGAGAGGAGGAGGCGGGATAAAGAAAAGAATGTGTTTTGTGTACATACACCGACTCCCCATGAGGAATGTAATCAATACTAGCTAGAGTAATAAAATACTAGCTAGACTAATAAAAAGGGAAAAAAAGAAAAGACACTCTGTTATCAGACGATAAAAGAAAAAGGAAATTATTTTTCATAAGTTAACCTAATTCAGAATCTTTGCATATTGTCAACCTACGTACAATAAAGTGTTTGAACATATAAGTAAGCAGAAAATTAGGCCTATATTCTTTTTTGACCCATATTCTAATAAAAAATCTGTCAACAAATCAGATGCACATATATATCAAATATTGGAATTAGTAAACATTTTTAGATGTCTGTTAGAAACATATGGAAGAGTCAGTAGGAAAAGATGATTATCAATACAGATGGAGGAGGTTTCACAAAATATCTCAAAACTGAAAACAACCCAACCTGGAACTGAAAAATTCAATACTGAAGATTACAAAAGGACTTTTAGAGGTAAACTATAAGTGAAATTGAAGACCAAATACAATGAAATGACTGAATTCACGCATAGAAATAAAAATATAAAATAACCAGGGCACAGTGGCACACAACTGTTATCCCAGCAGTCAGGAGACTGAGGCAGCAAGATTCCTACAAGTTCAAGGTCAGCCTGGGCTACATAGTGAGTTCAAGCCTAGCCTGAATTACATAGTGAGCTCCTGTCTCAAAAACAAAGCAAAGCAAAACAAAATAAAAGAAATAAATGGAGCCAGGGAGTTAGCTCAGCAGCCTAAGCACCTGCCTGGCAGGTTCTAGGTTGTGAGTTTGATCCCCGGGACCAAAAAAAATTTTTTTAAAAAATGAACATAAGCTCAGTGGTCTGTGGAATAATGTCAAAAGTCTAGCACACAGAAAATACGATTTCCAGAAAAGGAAGAAAGAGATAATGGAACAGAACAAATACTATGTAAGGGACAATTATTGAACTGTCTCAAATGTGATGAAAATAACAGTAGATCCCCGATAAATTTCAAGTAACATATATTTAATGACCACTAATCTTTTCAATTTAAGTTAGTCCTAGGTTTTAAAGTTAGCGAATTCAAAAATGATGTCTCAGTATTTCTTTGATATAGTCTCATCCTTCAATCCTGCCTACCTACCCCCCACAACTTCTCATTTAGTGAAAGAAATCACAGTCATCCTGTTGCTCAACATAAAATTCTGTAAACCATTGGTGTTCATTTCCTGCACTGGTTATAACAACTATAACAAACTTGGCTGTTTAAAAGGACACCAAGTTATTACCCTCCCCTCCTGCAAGCCAGAAATCCTGACATGGATTTTACTGCACCAGGATCAAGTGATCAGCAGGGCCGCCCCTGGAGAATGAAGCAGACAGCCCAGTTCCTTCCTTTCCCAGCTTGCAGTAGCCACTGCATTCTTTGGCTTAGAACACTTTCTCCATTTTTGAGCTCTGTCTTCCAAGCCAGCTGTGTCACATCTTCTTTCTGTGACTCTGCTTCCCTCCGTTTCTCTCACACGGCCTTCTCTTCTGTAGCAAATCTCTTTCTGCTTTCCTTTGATAAAGCTATTTATGACTGCATTTTTAGCCTACCTGAACCATTCAAGAAAATCCTAACTATCTGATCATCCTCAACTTTATTACATCCACAAAATCTCTTTTTAGCAGCAGGAGTAACACTCACAGGTCCCAAGGACTGGTGCTCATTTGGGGCCCATTTTTCAGATTTCCACTTGGCTTTGGAAGATTCCTCTCCCACCCCCACATTCTGTTTTTTCATAAGTGATTCCTTTCAGTTCTACTTGAAAAGTAGATCTTTTGGGTTCCTTCTCCTGATATAAGGATGATATAGGATCTCCAAATAATCCAAAAGTAACATTATAACTCCCGACCTGTTAGATATTTGATATACTGAGTTTTTTTCCAAAATCGAAGAATGAATTCTAAGGAACAACGGAGGTTAAGAGAGGCACATATTTGTTAATTAATGGCGGGTGAGAACTGAGACAGAACCAACATTCCTGTCTTTTTCTTGTTATATACAGAGAAGGATGGGAAACTGGACAGTCTCTCATGGACACTTCAAGCATGACAAATGGGATGGTATGAGTAGCATAAGTGGAGGAAAATTTGGGAAAACAGGGCTGGATGTAGGACTGGTCAGAGCCAGCACTTGTCAATTGGTAATTATTTGTAGATGGCTGAAAAACAGAAAAGTCTGGGGAGACATGGTCCAAAGAGGAGGAGGATGATAGGACTGGCAGAGTCAAACCATGCATCCTGACTGAAGGTTCTTGTCTGGCTAGTGATGGGAGAGTGGCTAGGCACATTTTGCTGAGGAGACAGAGTAGGCCCTTCATGTCATAATTGAGGGTGGTAAAGGCACAGACCTGGGAGGGGACCAGCATGGCCCTATAGGTCGCTATAGACACAGAAATACAAAGCAAGCAATCCTGGCTATGGTAGGATTGAAGTAATTCAGCAAGCAATGAATTAGCAGTGAAGTTTTGTAAAGATAATTGAGAATCCCTGGGAGAGACTATAGGGCAGTAACAGTGGTGTGCAATGAAAAGGCTGTTAACTGGGTCTAAGGGAATATGAAAAGATAGGAGAGGGGTCTAATAGGCCAGGGTGCTAATGTCTCACCCTGAAATGGGAATGGGACAGACATTAATGCATAAAAATGGATGTGGGAAAATGTGTTGACCCAATTGGCACTAGACTCAGGAAAATTTTAAGTCTGGAGGCTTTATTGACAGTTCTCATACCAGTAATTGGGGTCAAGGAGGTTGGTCTTGGAAGGAAGGCAAAGTGGAATGACAGCCGCTCATACTGATTAAAAATGGGACACTCACTTTCCACTGTAAGAGTTACCTGGAGTTCGGCATTTGAAACATTCCAGCAGGCTCTGCAGGTTTCAGGCCTTGTCAGTCTTCAGTGACCAGGTCAAGAAGGTCTCGGAAAGAGCCAGTGGGGGATGTCAGGACTATAACCTGGAGGCAGCAAGGGTTTCTGCCAGCACTGAGCAGTCCAGCTTCCAGTGAACACCTCTACAGGAAAGTCACAGAGTAGGGAGAATCTCAGGCTGTCAGGATTCCCTAACTTAGTGAGCATTCTGGCGACATTTTAAGCCTGGCCCTCAACCAACGCCCTTGGGCAGGAAGCCTTAGAAATGCTTCAGCCTTGGGCGGGGTCAGGTGCAGCCTGAGGGTTTCTTACAGCAGAGGCTAACATCTGCAGCTCAGAAAGTGCTATTTTCAAGCACTTTCACTGCTATTATTAAAAACTTTGAAAAGCAGATTGATAAATTCCTACTGTGGTGTCTGAGGGCCAGCCTCTAGTTTCTGTAATTTTTTACAGATGTCTGGTGCTGATTGGGTAATAAGATGAATCTTTAGGATAAATTGTCCCTCTGGCCTTTCTGGATCTAATGCTGTTTATCACCTAAGAGCAGCAGTGAGCCAAGCCATAAACTGAGCTGGGTTTTAATTCCTATTCTAAGTGTTTTCCTTTGGTTTATCAAAATTAACTGTCTATTGAATCATCCTGAGAAGTTCCTCTGCTAAGTAAGAAACCATGTGGTCTCAGTTTGCTAAGTCCCCAGATTCTGCCAATTAGGGTTTTCCTGACGGACAGCTGTCTGAAAGCCTACTGAAAGATTAGTCTAAAGGAGGTGTTGTTCATCCCCATAAGACTGAGCCAGGGAGATCATTTTTTTTTCTGTTCAGAAGAAAGAGTGGAGCCAAGGATCACATTTAAATCAGTCCAGGTTAGGGTATATCACTGAGTCAGGTATTGAAATTGTTGGGTATATGGAGTGGAATACCAGGAGAAGGAGCCTAGACACTGATTAATTTGAGCAAAAGTACTGATTCCCTCTGCTTCTACCACCTCCTAGAGTGGGAATTGGTGGGGAGCAAGGTTTTGGGCCCAAACTGCTATACAGATCAGATGTGGGGTGAAATGGGGTCAGATGTGGTGGGTGTAGTATGTGGAGGAGGATTAAGTTCAAAGGGAAGTGCCAGATAAAAAGAGAGAACAGGCACCTAACTGGCAGGAGGAAAAGGAGCAGCTGTAGCAGCCTCAGGAAGCTCTGGGGGAGAAGAAGAAACAGCTATAACTGCAGGTGGTTCCTAAGAAAGTTGGGGGCTGCAGCAGCAGGAGGGTCCCCAGTAGGAGAAGCTACTGTAGTGCAGGATGCAGAGAGTTCATGTCTTTGGTGTAGAAGGTGAGAGAGAAAGAAAAAGATCTGAGAGGGATTCCATGAGATGCATAAAGTGGAAATACTATGGAGTGCAAAGAATATGTACAGGACTTCTGACCACATTTTTATCCTCCAACAGTAACTATCTAAGTCCTAGAAAATGGAGGGATCCAAAATCACATGCTCTGGGCTCCTTGAACCAATTTCCAGTTTGTACCCTAGTCATGCATTGTTGCAGAAAAATATTAGATTCCTGGACTTCAGATTGGATTGGAGTCAGAAACATTACAGAGCTTTTTTTTTTTTTTTTTTTTTTTTTATTTTTTTATTTTATTTATTTATTTTTTTTTAAATTTTTATTTAAGGAGAAAAGAAAAGAAAGGAAAAAAAAAACAGTGAAGGGGTACAAGTTATACAGATTTACAGAATAAAAAAATGCGCAGTAGGAAATCACTAGTTAATGGATTACATATTGCCATCTTAGAAATAATTGTTTAAGTCACAAAATTAAAGCTTGTAGAGTGGACATTCCAACAATGATACTGCAAACAGTTCTGTTCAATGATCCAATAAAACTCTGTGATATCATTTTCTATCTTATACATTTAAATATACATGCAGTTATATAGTTTAGAGCACTTTCTGAGACAGGCTAAGGGAGGGAACAAAGAGAGGGAGCTGTCACACCTGGTGTGGCAAAATAATGGCAGCACTGGGGCCTGTACTGAACAAGGCTCAAGGCCATAAGGGAGCCAGGGTGAATGAGCAAAGGGTTTGCAGCCCTAATTTATCAGTGAGGGGGTGGGGGTGGGCGGAGTCAGCCTCCCCAAGAAGTGTCAGGGACTAGTGGTAGGTTTAAAGGCACAGAGGAGCAAGCTTTTCTCTGTCCCAGGAGGGTGAGGGAAGAGAGTGGAACTAGAGAGCAGTCACAGCAGAGAGAGAGAAAGATTAGCTACTGAAAGAGTTAAATGTCCAGAGCTAAGAGGGCAGCAGGCAGCAGCAGTGGGGAGACGGTGGTCTTAAAGGAACCCAGTGTTAGAAGCCTGGGAAGGGGAGACAGCTTACCAGCTCAGAAGTGGTCAGTGTGCAAGATCCTGGGAGCTGCCTGGAGCACTGGAGGAAAGTCTGGAGTCAGTGTCACAGAGTGACCTCCGTGGAGAAAGGCTCATGATAGGGTATAGTACCCTCTCGAAAGAGACCTCCTATTATATCTGTTTCAGCACCAAACACTAATTAATGGCACATAGAGAAACATCTGGAGACCAAGACTGTGGGAAAGACTAGATGAAATTTTATCTACATTCAGGCAGGCTGAAATCAGAGTGATATCAGTGCAGGGAAGCTATGTATATATAGGATTTGGAGTTGAGAGTTGCAGTCTCAAAGCATCTGAAAGAAATGTTTGAGGTCAAAACTGCAAGGACACTCATCACAGCTGTGCATATAAAATTGGGTCCAGCACATCAGGGAGACGGCATGTCCAGTCCTAAATTTCCTTAAAGCCATTAACTCTTGTTTGCTGAGGGCAGCATGGATTCCTGTTGTCTGTAGAGGGCACCACGTTTATTGGGGAGGATCTTTCTCAGGTCAGGAAAACATTTATTGAAGGAAAGACAGCTTTTGTCTAAGAGAAACAGAAGGAGACCTGACAAGTGGGTTCCTGTGGACTTCACTTACAGGGGAGGCTTTATAGAGCAAAAGCCAGGAGGTGGGCATGAAATCATGAAGTGGGTATAAGGTAGGACAAAACTATAATCAACCAATAAAATTACAAGTAGAGACACGTATGTAATATTGATCCAATGGAAAAATCATGAGGCAGGTATAATATGGGACAAAACTATGATCAACTGGTAAGATTACAAATATAGTCACTCAGGTAATATTGGTCAGTGAGGAAGCAAGTGGTATAGCAAGTGTGCATGGAGAAAGCTCCATGGAAGCCCCTTCCTGGAAGAGGTGGGTCAAGGTCTTGGTCCCTCCTAGCTGATCCTAGCTGATCCATGCCTATTTAAAACATCAATCGTTATCATTAAGTAGATGTAGTCTTTTCATCTTTGTGTTGAAGTCTGGCCTGCAAGGAATTTACTTCCATCCACAGTTGTAAAGAGTCTTCTGCATTGACTCCCTCAAGCATCCACTCATCTGGCTGCCTATAATACTTCTACCTACCTTTCTTCAGCTCTGATGCCATGCCTCCAACCGTAGCTCCCACTAATCATCCACAGAAGAACTCCTCTCCCTGAAACTCACATCTTTAAGATCTTATTTTTACCTTCTCTCATAATCCAAACTGAAGCTCAAACAGCTTTGCTCTTAAGAGGCTTTGATATAATTTAAAAAGTTTCATTTTACTCTGCTTATTTCCTTCAAAGTACTTGACTTTTTAAAATCAACATTAATTTGTAACTTCTATCAGTTAGGTTCAACTAGAAAAAAAGAAATTGTTTTAAGATTTTTAAACAGAAGGAATTGTCCCACTGTAGTGTTGGAAGGCTAGAAGAGTAAAATAAGGAGGAATTCTGGAGGAATAAAATACAGGAATGGTACCCGGAGATGACTTGCAAAAAGCAGGTGTCAGCTCTCAAGATCCTGAATAAAAGGAGAAGGGGTGAAAAAGAAGCAAACAAAGAGAAAAAGATTTACCAGGTCCAGGAGGACACATACTCCCATGGAAGAACAACTCATGAAGATGGTCTAGAAACACAGGAAGAGTATTACCTATTTTCTAAATTTTAGTAATAAAGTAACTCAAGTGTCCTATATTGTTGATAAATGGCACATTTGGGTGGGTCATATCTACTGAATAAATGCAGGACTGTTTAAATGTGGAATGATATCCACAGTATGGGAGCACTGATTTTTTCCAAAGCTGTTAGTCCTCAGTAGTATATGTGTGGAAAACGCCCTTTTAAAGCATCAGATATTCTCTGTTTCCCTCAGAATATATCTATAACAATTGACCCTGCTGTTCTAAATGCTGATTTTAGACTAACATTTCCCAAGAAGAACTTGAAAAAATGTGGAAGTTTAAGCAGCATGAACAGACTTGGGTGCATTTATCTTGTTTCCCAATAAAGGAAAATTACAAATGGCAAAACAACTTTGTAATACTGTAGACAGGGATCAAAATATATCTCTTCGCACCACCAGGAGTCTTGCTCATTATAGCAGGAGCCCCATGGATGATCTCAGTTGGGATCTTGGCCTTTAGAGCAAGATGTTAAATAATTTGCATTACCATAGCAATGGGAGCTGAAAAGAAGCTGTATTAACAGATCACCTCCTGTGCAAAGAAAGCAGCTAACGTAAGAGCAGCACACGGGCTGAGAAGATCAATGTTTATGCAATGCCTACTATGTGTAGGAATTTTAAAAATATATTTAATTGAAATAGTATCTGGGGAGAGGAGAAAGGGATGAAAAATGAATAGAAGTACATTATGTACATGTACCAGTTCCCCACAGGAATGTAGCAATGTACTGCAAACATATGTTAATAAAAAATAAAAACTGAAAACAATTCAAACGTGAAAAAAAAAGAACATGGGAACAAGAATCAAAAAACTTTAACCTAAGTCTTTAGTCTGCTGTTATAAAGTTACGTGATTCTGGGAAATGTGTTCCATCTTTCTGCTTCAGTTTTCTAAGGCATGAAGTGGGAGTAAAAGCTGGCATCATTTGGAAGTTGTGCAATGAATTAAATTTGAGTAATTGTAAAATTATATATGAATATTTCTATTGAAAAGTGTAAATTACTATTTAAGTGCTCTGTTTCATTGCTGTTATCACATGACATATGATTCTCTTTTTGTCTGTCTGAGACAGAGTTTTGCCATACAGTTCAGGATGGCCATGAACTCACTCTGTAACCCGGACTGACCTCAAACTCACAGCAATCCTCCTACCTCAGCCCCTCATAGTGCTGCGGTCATAGGGGTGAGCCACCATGTCTGCCCATAAATTGTGTTGTTTAAAAGCTAACCACTTTGTATGTTTGGATGCAAAAACAAGGTGGTGATGGTTAGCATAGTGGCTTGAAGGTGTTGGTACTGTCAGCAAAAACGTAGCTGCCTGGATCCATTCTTCAGATCACAATCCATCTCTGTAGATTCTACAAGGAGATGAACACTGGAAACAAAGCCAAGAGCAAATAAATATTATGTTTTCATGACTTAATCAAGTACCTGATTCTCACAGTGTACAATGTTTGTGAAACTGAGTCTCGAGTCTGCAACTTTTTCCTTGTCTCTACTCTAATTTCACACCTTAAATTCTTATAACCTATTGACCAGCCACATGGTGCAGGACCTAACACACTGGCCAGATGTCTGGGGTGGTTTTGTGGAGAAAGTCAGAAGTGGCAGAATTCCTCTCAACAGCAACAAAGGAGGAGAAGGAGGAGGAGAGGGAGGAGGAGGGGGAGGAGGAGGGGGAGGAGGAGGGGGAGGAGGAAGAGGAGGAGGGGGAGAGGGAGGGGGAGGAGGAGGGGAAAAAAAGGAAGAAGGAGAAAGAAAAGAACTGAAAGAGAAAATGTGTAGTATTCATGTTTTTGTTATTTATGGCAGTGTTTCTACCTCCTAGCAAATATAACTGTGGCTCAGAGTTTGATGAATAAGCTTAGAAACTTTTTTATCATAGGAGGAAGAGGGAGCTAGAATACACATGGACAGAAGCAAGCTAAAATTCCTTCCCTGCCTTTGAAAGTCACCAGTCCTAAATGGCTGTTCCCAGGATTTAGACAGCATGTCTCTGTTTGGCCATTCACACCTATATAAATCCATAAAGTTAGATTTCACACTTGACACATTCCAAAGAGAAAACTGGGTTAGCCGGTGTGTGAATGATCAGTGCATTGCCTCTCAGCTCCAAAGCTACTGTTCATTTCTTGATTTGTGAAACTGACTTGTGGTCTTGAGTTATGTTTTCTTTGCCCTGTGGGACACTGTTAAACTCTGCTTGACAGAACTTTGGAAAGACAATTAATGGAGGAGGAAGGGATTGATCGTCTTTCTGGGTCCAGCATGCTCTACTCCATAATCTCCTGCACTGTGTAAAGGTGTTTTGGTGCCCAGTTCCTGCAGTGCGCACAGCTTCTCCAATCCTGGTTCCTGAAGCATGAGAAACTTCACTCCTACATCATGCATGGCTTCTCCAGCACCAAGTTCCTACAGCAATGAGGTTCCTCTAGCACCAAAGTTGTGCAGCCCAGATAACTTTCCCACTGCTGACATTTTTCAGTGCAGTGACCAACAACATACAACCAGCAACTTCCTGCAGCACCCTCAGAGGTTTGCAATGGACTCCATCAGGCAAGATACCTCCCCATGAACGGTTTTCCCCGTATCATAGAGGACAGACCTCCATTATTTTCCAAAGATATGTCACACAGCAACATCCCTGGTATCCAATAAATCATAGACACTCCTTCTCAGCATGTTATGCATTGCATCCTCCATCCTCGTTATCTTCTTTTTTTTTTTTTTTTTTTTTTTTTTTTTTTTTTTGGTCTTTTTCATTTTTATCGGTATCAGGGATCGAACTCACGACACCGCACACTTGCAAAGAAGGCGCTTATGCCGCTGAGCTAAATCCCCAGTCCCAATCCTCGTTATTTTATTGAATAGTTACAGCATTTTAATGGTGCAAAATACTATCATTGCACATTTTAGGACTCTGAAGCTCAGAAAAATAAGTTAAATTCCATGGTCCTTCAGTGGCTAAATCTTATAGTTTGAGATTAAATTCATATTTGTCTGAATTAACACCAATGCTAGAAATAACCAGTCATTTTCCAATATTCACTTGAACTATTCTTTAGGGTTCCTTCCTTAGTTAGCATTATACCCTTTCTAATACCCATGGAAATAACAACGATAGCTTTTGTAACAAGATCAAACTGATTTTTATTAGTTAGGTGTTGTTTACCACCAGCCTTTATATCCTTTTCCTGGTGTTAAGGACTCTTTAGGAGTCGCATGTATTAGGCTATCAATAGTCAAGCTTCGGAGAAATCACCACTGTCGTTACTTTCTTTACTGATCTTTTAACTCCAATTGATTTTTCAAACTTTTCCATTTCTCCTTGATTCCCTATTTTCTTGTACTTCTATCTTTCTTCATAACATCACAAACTTTATTTCATATGCTGTGGCCCAGTGGGGTGATTTCTCAGTTGCAATAACTTGTTTTCTTTCTCTAGTTCTAAAATCATCAGAGGAACTAGTAGCATGAAAGAGAATTGTGCAATGTATTTTGAGGATCATAAATTACTCATTGGAAAGAAAATGATGGGTATGTTTTTCTATTCTCTGAATATATTATGCATTTTCTTATGCCTCATTTTTAAAATGTTCTACAAAGTCTCCTTTCAACCTTCCAAACATATTTGGGTAGTCCCTAAATTATAATTTCTTCACATATTATTTTTTAAAATGTATTTAACTTTATTGGTACAATTTATGTATATATAATGATAACATTCATCACAGGGAATTCATATCTGTACATAATCTACCTTGATTTGTCTTTTTTCTCATATTATTCTGATCAAATGAACAGGACATGTGTGCAACATACCATCAATAAACACTTCTCAAAAGGCTAAAACTTCATCTCCTCTTATCTGAATGTCATATAATGTTGAAAGGAGTCCTCAGGTATCTTTTTTCCTGTTTCACAGATAAGCAAATGAACTAAAAGAAGAGGAAATTGCTTGCAGAAAGATCAAGAAATAATCAAAAACAGGCCTTCTGACTTATTCTAATTCTTTCCTTTGATATGATAACCTGAAGCTAATATTGCTAATCTTGTCCTAATGTAGGGAAAAAGTAGTTTACTTTTGGGTTTATACATACTATATTTTCCCCCTGGCTTCCAATATTTATCAATGTAATAAAAATAGCTTAAAATATTGTAGCTGTAGGGTTCACAGCTAGAGATATATATTTAAAATCAATTATATTTTTCAAATTATTTACATACTCATTTTATATCTGCCTTTTTTATATGCAACGACAGAGACTGGATTCTTAAACTTTCTCATTCTTATAATAATTTAATCAACTTCTCTGAATTTCTAATGTATTTGTTTTACTCTGTTGTATTTTCTCTTGTTATTATAATAAAATGATTTCTTTAATAGTAACTCTTCCATGTTGGTAGATATCCTATATAAAACTTGAAATTTTGAAGTATTTTAAATAACTGTGTATGTTACCCTGCTTGCAGTTTTCTTTTCCAAGTCTCCAAAACCTTTCAGTTCTTTCTGGCATTCTTCAAACCTGCCAACTCTCATGAATATGAACTCTCATGAACATCATGAGACATCTCAGGGACATCATGTTGAGTGAAATAAATCAGACACAAAAAGGCAGACTGCATACAATTCCCAACTATATATGGTTTCCAAAGTAATCAAATTTATAGAGACAGAAAGCAGAATGGTGGTTTCCAGAGAATAAGAAATGGACAGGCTGCAAAGAATGGGGAATTATTTAGCAAATATATGGCTTCAGTTTTATAAAGTAAAAAAGAGCCCTGAAGGTTGATTGAACAACAATGTGAATACATTAAGGACTAGTAAGCTGTACACTATAAAAGGGTTAAGATGGTAAAGCTTGTGATGAATATCTTATCACAATTTAAACAACAGAAAACAAGAAATTTCTCATCTCAGAGTTGTCCTTAATAACCCCAATCCCAACTCCTCTCTCTCCCATTTCTGGAACCCTACTACTTGTGCTTTTGTGTATCACTTTATTAGTCCATTATATACTGTCAAAATCTCAATTTGATTCACAGTGAATGGCAATACCTGAACACCTAGTAAAAATCTCATTCTCTTCTTTTTATTATAATCATAATCATAAATGGGCACAAGAGTCTCAGTGGACAATTGCTGACAGAATTAAAAGCTTACATAAGTAAAAACAGATTTTGAAATTACCAGTGCCACAATAGAATTTCATAACTCCACTTTACATTTTAGTTGATGCAGTCTGGCCAGGTGTTTGCAGAGATGGTTTTAGCCAGACCAATTAGCATTTCTGTCCTCTGTTGTGTCCAATCTAATGCATATAAGTTTAGGCAAATAGTGTAGGAAATGCTGGAATCACTGTTTTAGTTCATATTCAGAATTCACCCATGTTGTCCATATTTATAGGAGCTTAAACCAGAGATTAAACATTTATACCCCTGCTGAGTGAGCTGGGCCAGCTGGACAGACCAGTTACCACCAAAGATCTCAGTTTGTTGTTCTGCACTGGATGGCTGGTTCTACTCCATAGGGATTTGCTATGACTGTCCTGTCTAATTAGGTGTCTGCCTGAAACAGTCTCCAAGAAACACTCTGAATAGTTTTCACTGACATATTTTAAATCTGAACCAGTGGAGAAGAGCAGGATTTGCTGCTTGTCTTCTACTGTCATTAGAGGCAAAATAGATGGTGGTGATGCATATTTAATAATGGAAATGCAGTAGTCACACAGACCACATACACCGAATAAAATACCCTGCTTTATTGAATCTTTCCCTCATATGCACATATACTTAATACATGGGTTCTTTATCTTCCAGGGTTTCCAAAGTATCCGTTCTGTCCATAGTCATTGATACAGCCATGCAGAAACCTTGTGCAAGTAAGTCTTCAAATTTCTAACTCTTGTCCTTGACCTTTAAGATACACGGGTTTTTGCAAGAGCCAGGTCTTCTGACACCATCTCCAGTTAATGACACGTGCCTCAATACGGTAAAAAGGGAGACACACTGGGACTTCCCCCATGGCTTTGCAAACACTCTGAGCTCACTTTGTCCAATATAGTAGATCCACTGATTTACCTCAGTCTTACTGGTGTAGTCACAAACAAACAAAACTCCTTCCATTAATTTCCCACACCCTGGGACATCGACATACCTTCTTACAGTGGAGCAAACATATTCAACACACACTCAGCTACTTTCTGAATAACCCCAAAGAAAGCTACAAATACCACCTTCCTGCAAGTGAATGAGATAAACTACTCTTCCCTCCCAGAGCTCAAGATAATTTCTTTTTGTTCTAACGGTGAGAGACAGCAATTCCACCTGTAATAGTGACACAGAGTGATAGGCACCACCCACTCATGATGCTGG